TTTGGGATTTGCTATACTGGAGTTCACTTCTTATCCATCATAACCTTGATGTGATGCACATAGAAAAAAATGTGTTTGAAATCTATTCAACACTGTTATGAACATTGAGGGGAAATCCAAGGATAATGCAAAAGCGAGAGCAGACATAAAGGAAATTTATCGTCGACCATAACTCAAGCAATCTGTACTTATTAGAAAGTTTCCAAAGGCATGTTATTATTTAGATAAACCCCAAAGGCAATTATTATGCAAATGGGTCCGATCATTAAGGTTTGCAAATGGATTGTAACATCCCTTCCCGGTCCACCCGTAAACCCGAATAAACCGAGTCGAGACGTTACAAACTGATTGACTTTATGTCTTGTCATGCTGATATCATAATGTTTTGAATATAATAGATGCTGATGTGGTATACAAAAATATGTAATTTATATTTACAAAACATGATACTAGTGTCAAATGAAATGGGCCCAACTGAGGCCCTGTACATGCCATAAAAGGGTAGACAAGAATACATATTAAAATGAGTAGCTACCCTGAAGACTGAGTCTTCCCTACCAGATGAACTGCAGCAGTTGTAAGCTGACTCTCTACTGTCCAATCTCAAAACCTGCGAGTTTAAACAGGTAACTCGCTGAGCAATAAAGCTCAGTGGATATCTCAACATATAAAGAACAATAAGCAATACCATAGATAAGGAAATAAGCATGTTAAATGCATATAGATAAATAACATATAAGACATATAGCATGATCCTTTCCTATACCTTGATTATCTTCGTACTGTTTATAATACCTGTATGAATCATGAAATGTTATGTCAAAGATATCTGTATGGTCCATAAGGTTATAGTGAAACCGAAGTGATAAGAAAAACTGTATGAAAACTGGATGAATACTGTATGCTTGGCTGCAATGGCCCATATATAATCATATCCACTCAACGGCCTGTAGCCGGAGTAATCAAACTGTAGAGGCCGCAGATCCTGTCTATCTATGTCGTGAACATAGCCTTATCTACATGTTTCTACCTAACCTCAATGGAGCTAATGTGGTATGTCAATAATATCACACAACATCCATATTCATAGTTCATAACTTTCAATAATTCATAATGTTTATTTGATTCCAATCATTTGCATGCTGCATGTTGTTTTGATACATGTTCTCAATGTTGTATTTTGGATTAAGATGATTGGAGGCATATAAGTTGAAGCAAAAAGGAATACATTGCAATTGAAAAAATGAAGTCCAAAAATGCATGAAAACACAAGTCGCGAGCGCGTAAAGCACCAGATGAGAGACAGGCATATAAGTGAAGCAAAGAAATACAATTGCATTGAAAAAGAAGTCCAAAAGTGCATGAAAACACAAGTCGCGAGCGCGTACTTCAAAGTTGCGAGCGCATAGAATGCAAAATGATAGACAGTGAGTTATCGGGCACAAGTCGCGACCGCGTACTTGAAAGTCGCGAGCTCGAGAAGTGCCAAATGAGAGTCAGCGAGTTTGCGAGCACAAGTCGCGACCGCGCACTTGAAAGTCGCGACCGCGAGATGTGCTAAATAAGAGTCAGAGAGTTTCAGGTGAAAGTCGCGAGCGCGTAGGTCAAATTCGCGAGCGCGAGAAGGCAACGCGAACTCATCAGGGAGGGGGGGAAGGAAGGGGGGGGGGATGGAGGGGGGGGGAGGGGGGTGAGGTAGGGGGGGGGGGGGGTAGGGGGAGGGGGAAGAAGGGGGAGGGGGGGAGGTTAGGGGGGAGGGGGGGGGGAGGGGGGGGGCCGGGGGTAGAGGGGGTATAGTTGGGAAGTCAGGGGGGGGAGGAAGGAGGGGGGGGTGAAATTCGAGAGCGCGCATTTGAAAAATCGCGAGCGCGCCAAGGCAAAGCGAGCTCGTCTGCGATTCGCGCGCGCACTTCGCGTTTTCCAGTCCTCACAGTCTGGTACTCTTTTTGGTTCATATCTCTCAATATACAACTCCGATTTGGATGATTTAAACCATGTAAAGCTAAACACAATAGAGAACAAATAAACTCTTTATGACACTTCCTAAAATTCCATCATTAAATGGGGTCAAAATCAAGATGAAAGTTACTGGTAAATTCTAAAGCAAGCCCTGTTTCAGCATAAACTCACATGTTACTTCATTTATTCAATATCTCCCCTGTTTCCTCCCTATTTCTCAACCATTACCAGTCCTCGCCAACTCAAAACATGAAGCAATATTGTCTCATTAGCACACACCACACAATTCTCATGCAAAGAAAATGGTAAATGAAAAGAGATATCAACCTTTACTCCCAAAAAGCTTGAGCTTTCTTAACTTTTTCTAACACTCTAGAACTCCCTTCACCTATAAATAAGATTCTTAATGAAATTCTAAAATAATACAACCAAAATGATCAATTATGACTTCAAGAAGGTTTACTTACTTGGATAGAAAGAAAAATTAAAGTTAGCTTAACTACCATTAAAAATGAAAAGGAGGTGGAAGAGGAAAGGAAGAAAATGAAAGAAGATTGAAGATAAAGATGAAAATGGGAGTGAGTGATAATCACGTGGTAACCATCAAAATCAAGGGATTTTATGTAAAACTTCCTAAATGGTACCTCATTAGCAAAGGCATACACTTAAACCCAGCTTGAATCTTTTCTTCTCAATCAAGTAAGTCCACTTAAATCCCCATTCTACCCCAGACCGGGTTTGGTCCTGGTCCGACTTCAACTCGATCTCTATGAAAAGAACTTTGACCAGTGCTAAGACTCGACTCCGGTAGGATGTCACATTCCCTCCCCTCCTAATAAAAACTTCGTCCCGAGTTTCCTGTTGTGAACAACTGCGATACTGCAGATACTGTTGTCGCATGGTTTCTTCAGATTCCCAAGTTGCTTCTTCTATTTTATGATTCCTCCAAAGAACTTTTACCAATGTTATTTTCTTGTTCGCAATTCTTTAATTTCTCTGTCTAGGATCTGAACTGGTTCTTCATAATTAAGATCTTGGTGAATTTCAATATCTTCTGCTGATAACACGTGTGATGGGTCTGATCTGTATCTCCTTAACATTGATACGTGAAAGAAATTATGAATTCGATCTAATGTCTAAGGTAACGCTAGGTGATAGGCTAATGGTCCTACACGTTCAACAATCTCGTATGGACCAATGAACCTAGGACAAAGCTTACCCTTTCTTCCAAACCTTAGGATCTTTTTCCATGGTGAAACTTTTAGAAGTACTTTATCACCGACCGTATACTCAGTTTCCTTTCTCTTTAAATCAGCATAGGACTTCCTTATGTCGATCAACTTGCTTCTTTAAAGCCATTTTTCTGATGATTTCCACTTTCTCTTCTGTTTATCTAACCAAATCTGACCCAAAATCTTCTTCTGCACATCAGTTTCTGTGAACTACCAATACACACACAGGTTGTGATGCGAGCATGGTTCTGAGTCTCTGCCCATATGGCGCTCAATGCTTCCAAATATGGTGCCATCATTAAGCTGATTGGTAGCTGTTGTTGTAGGCAAACTCCATGAAGAAGTACATATCTGTCCCAACTGCCTTTCAAATTCTATGAACAACATGATCTCTATCAAATCGTCTTCCTGAGATAGTATTTGAATATATCATCATCTGATTTGAGTTACCTGTTAGTAGGTACACGTGAGAGGCGCCAGCCTTGGCGAGAAGATGCAATATCTCACGCTGGACGCCTATGCTTCTAAGCACCGATGAGACTACAGAAAAACTTCGATGTAAACCTTGGATCACGACAGATATAAGTGGATGATGGAACTCCATGTAGTCGAACTATTCGCTAACATAAATGTTCTGCTAACTTTCCAGCAGAATAGTCCATCCGAACTGGTAAAAGTGTGCGGACTTAGTTAATCTGTCCAGATCAACCCAAATAACGTATCATCTTCCGCTGCGTCTGAGTAATCCAGTAACATCCATCGTGAATCTGATCCACTCCACTGTTGGCACTGTTATTGGATTGAAGTAACCCAGCTGGCAAGTTGAATGTTCTGCCTTTAACTTGTTGACTGTTAAACATCGTTGGTTACAACATGTCGCGATATCTTTCTTCAATGCCGGCACCAATAGCCTTTCTTCAAATTCCTGATACATCTTGGTACCTACCTGGATGCATGTATATGGACTGATCGTATGACGCTTCATGCAGAATCTTTTGTCTAAGCTCCCCTGTCTGTGGGTACCACAACTCTGTCTTCATGGAATAAGACTCCACTTTATCCAGATATCTCACAGTACTTCCCACACCAATGATCTTCCTGTAACTGTGTTTTACCCCATAAGTGCGCTGTTTGTGCATCTTTCATTCTGTGCCTCTTGCAACTTCCCTGAACCCAAGATGGCCTGTACTTGCATCTGTCATGGTTATTATATATCTCCTCGTCGTGGTCATATCGTCTCTAATTGCTAAATTCTATGCTCAAAGCACAACATCGATTAACTCTCTCACAACCAGAGGAAT